TTACTTGTCTCATCAGTTTATATGGTATACTACACCTGAGTTTTATTGTACACAATGGTTCAACAATTTACATTGTCATCAAGAGTTTGTATGGTATACTACTCCTGAGTTTTATTGTACACAACGTTTCAACAATTTACATTGTCATCATCAGTTTATATGGTATATATTACTCCTGGATTTCATTGCACACAACGTTTCAACAATTTACATTGTCATCATCAGTTTAAATGGTATACTACTCATGAGGTTTACTGAACACAAAGTTTCAACAATTTACATTGTAATCATCAGTTTATATGTTATACTACTCATGAGGTTTACTGAACACAAAGTTTCAACAATTTACATTGTCATCATCAGTTTTATTGTATAAGTTTCAACAATTTACATAGAAATCATCAAAAAGATCGTTACTTTGATCAAAAGACATTAACAACAAGTCAGCAATTTAAACACAAAAACTACATGACAGAAAAGTTCATAGAAAATTAATGAGAATGCAGCAACAGTTTTTGTTTCAAGACAATTATTTTACATTTTACTCTCTCGGCTGTATTTCTGATCAATAGTGCAGCACGAAAACAGCAGATAAAATTACATTCTTACAACTACTGGTCTATAATTTAAACTCTGATAATGTACAGGTTTATGTTCCAAGTAAAATAATAGCTTTATAACAACAACCATTATCTGGAAAATTATACAGCTTTCCTACGGTTTTCTCTTTTTCTTTTAACTTCTATAAAAGAATTGTTACAGTTTGTAGACTTGCTTGTAAATGGGAAAGATATATGAAAGATGTATGAAGTAACATTTTCTCCCAATAGAAACATTATTTCTGGTAGTTAGACTAGAGAATTCAAGGGATACAGTTTATGCCGGCTGTGAGTTCAATTCTCGATCAGCGTGTGATAGTCCAATGACCTTGAATAAGTCATTTTCACTCATAATTCCAGTCTACCCAGCTGTAAATGGGTACGGATAATCTGGGAAAGATCAATGCCAAGAGGTTTGGCCAAGGACTACCGTGTTGAAAGGATCCTTAACTGTGAAACTAAGTTATCTTTGTAAAATATAGTGGTTTCTTTTCTTTCTTTCTTTTTCTTGATTTCATTTTCTTTATAGAATTGAGGCCCAATCCTTCAAATTCTAATATAATTCAATAAAATTGTATTACATAACCTCTCACTTAGCTAATCGTGTTTACTTGACATCAATGTTTGTGATCATGGTATTGCTTCTAGAGCAGTGCTTCTCAACCATCATTACTCCCCATTACAGTCTTTCTCAATCTGAATTTTTGTTTACGCTTTTCTGTTTGCCTGGGTGAATAACGTCAATTGCAGTTGTTAATCACCTTGTCTCCCTTTTCCTCTCCGGTCCGATGATTCCTGCTCATTTCCCACCATTGATAATAATTCCTTCCCTGTTGAGAAGCACTGGTCTGAAAGTCTAAATAGTTTATAATGTTAATTTAGTAAATAGGTTTGTAACCTCTGTATGCTTGTCAGAAAGTCCACCTAGCTGATATTGTTTATATGATATTTAGGGTTTATCTGGTATATTTATGTGAATATTGTTTATAATTAGGACTCTAACGATTATTTATAATAACAAGTAATTAGTACGTAGGTCTGTTTATTTTATCAAGAATTATTTATTTAACGTTAGTTATTATTACTAATATCAACATAGAATTAATCAAACATTGTTTGTCTTCATATAATCTATTTAGTTTGTAGCGACAGCTCGGAAGGAAAGGACAGGAATATTTATAAATTGTATAGCTCAAACAGCTAGTTACTGAGTACTTTTAATTCTCTTTGCACCAATCTGAATTTTTATCTTATGTATAATATGGTTTCTTGAAAGAAAACTTGATCAGAATGTTACAAATACTAGTAAATACATGCAGCTCTGGTCAACCTTGTGTCTGAAAATCTGCTAGCAACTGGTTACAAATTGGAAGATCTGAATAGAGCTGAATTTACTCAAGCATGACCTGAAAATCAGAGTTGACATCAGATGCTAAGGGTTAAATTCTAGTAAGAATGGGATACAGTTGTCAACCTGAACAGACAAACTCTGTAACCATCTTGTGATTCCAGTTGCTAGTAGTCAGTCAATTCTACAATACTAGAGCTTTGGACATATCAACTGTGACAGGTTCAATAAGATGCTTCAATCTCCATTTGCCCGTTAAGTAATACAAGATATATCTAGACTGAATAACCCTTTATAAATCTGTTTCAAAGTATGTTGTATGTTCTAATATTCAATCTTATTTCAGGTTGCCATGGAGGAAGGCAAATGATGACTGTGGCCAGAATGAGGCATGAGGACTGGGCGTTACCATGGTAATACAAGTGTACAATGTTGCAGATGGAGAAGTTTTCTCTTATCGTTTGATTCTCCTCATTGGGGAGATTGAAAACTCTACAGATGATGGTGCTATCTGTGTTGAAAATCGGAGCGATTCGAACGATAGAAAGTTGGAGTGGCCTATCATTGAGGGATGTTTTAAAGTGCTTGTGTATATCCAACCAGGAAAAAACGTTGTTAGTTTGCAACACCAGACGGAAATTTTGACGTTGAATTTAGAATATCAAGATCCTCATTTTGTTCATTTTGTCCGCCCAGTGTATGTGTCATGTGCTGATGATGACGGATATTTTCAAGGCCCGGAATCGGCAGATTGCTCACCAAATAGTGCCAGAAACAGAATTATCTTTGGAGCAGAGTTAATCCAGACTTTTACTGCTGAGAAAATGAAGGAGCATGGATTCGGAAGAACTACTTTCCAGCTAGAAAAGGATTGCCATGGAAACCACATCTGCCATTTATTACGAAGTAAATTAACATTAGAAAAAGCATACTCCATGTCAGGAAATGAATTGTGGACGTATTTCGCTAAGGAATTAATGTCATGTGACCTAACACGGAAAGAAAAGTGTAAATGGTATTGTTTTATGTCGTTCACGCGTTATGACCCCCCTGATAATGCAGAAATTCCTAAAACTCACAGTGAAATTTTAAAATATACTAAAGGTCACACTGCATTAGGTAAGTGTTTTCACTCTGTTGATTTCTCATGGGTCATTGGATTTCTGCTACTTTGTCAGTGATGTAAGGCTGATAATCGAAAAAAGCTACTCTAAACATAAGTCAAATATTTATGCAACAGGGTATGCAGATAAGGCAAAAAAAATCCACGACATTGTGCTATTAATACTTTGACCTGATACAATTTATTTCATTGACCACTGCGTATGATAACTTCTATTAAGTCTGCATTTGATTATCTTCTTTTCAGGAGGTGGGGGTCTGGCGTTATTTGGAACTGGAAACCTTCACACCTGGGCCGAGAGTCTGGATCAACTTTATTCCAAATTCACAGACTGTCGGAAAATAGATCGAAGAAAATTTATGGATGACAGTGCTTACAGGTCAGTTACTTAACTTAGATTTAGGATACATTTTGGTTGATATTGGACTTCGTGAGAATGTAATGTCACATAGTAATAGCTGTATCCATGTAGGTCTGGTATATATCATAGATTAGGTATTAGGGCGTGAGAGCTAACACTGGGCAGACTCTCGAAAGCACTGGCACAGGCATCAAAATTTTATTTGAGTGTTACAACTTACTATTTAACAGTGGCCCATTTTTAAAAGAGGTATAATGAAAGACATGCCTATCAGTAAGTCCTCAGGATTTGATTTAATACTTTATTGGTATAATAAATATTTTAGTAAAGAAATTGATATTTTCATTATAAATATCATTTAAAAATAATTTAATTTTCTGATTGGTCAATCACTTTCTTGTAAATTTAGTTTTAATAACCAATCAAATAGTACATTATTTCCTTAAAATCTGTATTTCTCAAAGTTAAGATTTCTTGAATAAGTTCTCAGATGTAATGTAATCGTTTGGCAGCTATAGAAGTCACTAGTGTTAAAGCATTTAATCTTAATTTGGTCTAAAAAGTAATTTGTGTGTTTTTTATGCTCTTTCTGAGTGAGAGCATGTCAAATGATTTAATTTATTTCCTAGTGTCGTGTGAAGGTTGAAAGCCAATCAGGAATGTGGAGTTATTTCCAGAATAATTCTACATTCCTGACATTTAGAAATGGGTATTGGAAAATTAATGATGTGGGAAACTGAAAGTAGCAACATTGTCTTAAAATCATTTCCATGTCAACGGGAAATTAAATTCTGAAATTAAAAGATTAGATTAGGCACGAAAATGGCATACAGGACTTGATTCATTAGAAACAAAATATCTGAATAAAAAATTTCCAAGTTAAAAGATCATTATCTGAATTTTGATGAAGAGACTAAGTCAATATTTATTGATATTTTTGATTAACAAGTATTATTTTATTATTAAAATCATATAATCAATAACAGAATTATTAGAAACATTACTTCATTTATTGTTAGGCTTTTAAACATAAGATCCCACACACGACAAAAAAATAGAAACCAGACAAATTGCAAAGACTCATATCACTATAGGACACATAACATCCTCTAACATGACTTGTCCTGTTATTCCATATTGGCTACAAATGACATGAATATGAAAAAAGAGTAGCCTATTGTTTTGACAAAAAAGCTAAGATTCATGTGTCATCCTTCATGGGTTAAAAATCAAAATGGTTGTTTTATGAGGGTATGATTCCATATATGCGGAGGCGGTATCGGTCAAATGGTCTCCGTCATGCGTCCAAAAAAAAATCGCCGGGTGTAGCGATTTTTGACGCATCCAGACGCCTTTCCGCGCGGAGATCTCCCAAATGTGACATATTTTGTGGGGATTCCCTGTCTTAGTCATGATGAAATGACTTCCCTGGTCCTGCAGTGTTTCTGTAGATCCTCTTCTACAAAAAAACAATACTTGAGCAAACTGCTCTCTTGTCAGTCGGAAATATTGTTTAAATTTCTCCCCATCTAATTGTAATTCACTGACCAAGTGATGGTATGTTCCATGTTCTCGTCGTAAAAGTAGGATGTTGTGGACCCAATAGCGATGCTTCCTTTTTTTTTCCTTTTTCATTTTCATTTTCAACCATTCCATAGCAAGCCTGGCAATAAAAACTTCATCTTGCTTCAGCATAAATTTATGCACAAAGCATACGGTGCGTACGTTTAACGCACATATGGAATCATATTTGACGCTTGACGGAACCACAAGGGCCATTTATGTCTGCATGACATGTATATAGAATCTAAGCTTTATACTTCTGTTCCGGAGTTTCTGTGTGGAGTCGGAAGGCCACTGACTCGTTCACATTTTATTATTGTGTTGCTTCAGTCGATGTGTGTGAATTAAAAAGGCTTATCATGTCAAATCTCATGTAAAAAGGCGTCTTTACATATATCTTGTTTTGTTAATAGAGGAGACTTAAAAACATCAAGATTATTGGAGAATAAAAAACATTAATCAAAAGTTATTAATAACAATGTAACATATTGTTAATTCAGATATGACTACAGTGATTAATCAACCAATCATTGAACTGTATTAAATTAGACCTGACCTAATTTCTTAAAATCGCAATATAAGTTTATTGTTACAAGAAATAATCTTATTTATATTTTCGTTCAATACATAACCAAAGTTGCTCAAAATTATTGGGTAGGGGGCAAGAAATGTATGCTGGAAAAAACATATCATTTTCTATATACCAATGTCACTAAAAGCCTAAAAGGATCTGTACTCAGGTCACTAAGTCTTAACAGTAAGATCTAGTTCAATCACGACCTTCGTACTTATACCTTGACTGCAATAGCCACCATTCTTGTGTCACGGAAGGCAGCGATTGGATGGATTGTATGCTGGCAATTACAGCCAATTAGAGCCCTCGACAAAAAGGCTGTAAACATTATGGCTTTGTGTTCACAAACCTTTTGTGGAGACCTCTGTTGTATTCACTAACATAAAAGATCAATCAAATCACTTCATTTGCAAACTTCTGTGATACTAGAAAACTGGCTTTTGCAGTCAAGGCATAGATATGAAGTTTGTAATAGCTTGACATTGTGAAGATGATGTTTGTAATAGTTTGACATGGTGAAGATGATGTTTGTAATACCCTGACATTGTGAAGATGAGTGTAAATGGAAATGTAAATGTTTTGCTGCTGAAATGAAAGAATATCAATATATCTAGTGGTTTGACAGTGATAGTGTGTGTTTAAAATATCCGTGGAGAAGAGAAATTATGTTTTCGTGGTCTGAATCAAGTAAATAAATTTCCAATAAACCAGATTTCCGTGGTAATTAAATTGTCGTTTGGCAACCAATTCCCCGATTACATCAAATCAGAATAAAACCAATAAAAATAGATTTTATGTTTCTGAATATTGGATTTGTCATAAAATTTTCTCTACACTTAACTTCAATCAAACCTTATTATACATTATAGCTGTTAATAGAACATAGTAGTCTGACTCTCTGAAGCACTAGCCTTGGTAGGTCTATATTAGAAATTCCAGGTTAAGTTGAAAGGTGTTGAGAGTTGTCATTGCTTGGACAAAATCTCTACATCTGATCTGATTGGTCAATCACTGAAACTAATTCAAACTTGTATTGTTATTAACCAATTACATACAGGGCCATAACTACATTGAGGTAAATTAGACAAATCTGACAACAAATAAAGGAATTAAAGAGAAATTTTGTTTAAGAAAGCTCAAATATGAATATGATGTGATGTCTAGGCGAGGTGAAGCGAAAAGGACTTTTGCACAATAGAAAAGAAATGCCCCGAATTATTCCCTGACAGAACAGTATTTGCTAAATTCTGCATTTAAAGTAAAGATTACCAGAAGAAGAAGAATTCTGATCAATTATAACCGATGATACTGATACTATAAATAGAATCCTGAACTTCGACCTTTCAATTTAATTAACACCTATATGTTATAAAAAGAGTCTGGATAATATTACTATATTTAGTCGACTGCTGATAAATTATTCAGAGGTTCGGAGAAACAAGATAATTTTACGTAAACTTTGGCTCTCGAGTTAGCACTCCAGAATAATCTACTTTTAGAATGACGAATTGACAATATTTTGTCTGTCTTGAATATTAATTAAGAATCTTCTTCCAGAAAACTAAAAAAAAAAATTTAGTGATTCAAATAGCTCAAATCTTTACAAGTTATTCAAATGATGAACTTAATGTTAAAGGGACAGATGTGCCATTTGTTTGACCAAATGTACCTTAGTCACAGAAAGGTGAATTTTTAGCTGAGCTAGTCAGTAATAGTGTTCACAGCTCACCGTTGAAATATGAACCTTCTAATCCATGTGTGTCCATGATGATTCGCGTTTGAAAGTTAAAAAGACAACTTTACTTGAGACTGTCATATATAGAGAAGACACGTATTGAAATAGAAATAGCCTATTTTTGAAAGAATTATGTGATTATCTAACATATCTATCATATAGTACTTCTGAAGATTTTAAACATTCAAGACCGAAATCAACTCCCGCGAATATCGCATCTGTCCCATTAATACGCTCACATGAAAACCTTCAACCAAATAGAAAATGTTTATATACCAGTTATCAAAATATAAGTTATATTATGTCCGTGTGTCTATCTGAAATTGATATGTCAATCATCCTATCTCTCCCTTTATGCCATACAGCTCAATTTCAATTTATAACTCAGTTGATATGTCAATATTTAAGTTGATATGTCAGTCAAAATAACAGTTTATAAGCCAATGTAATTTAATATAAAGATCATTGCGTCTCCCTCATACCAGTTCATGTGCAATGTCAAGATGTCAGTTAATTTGCCAATGTCTGATGATAGAGCTCAAATATTTTGTTGGTGTCAGAGCCAGTTGATGTCACTACTTTTGAAAGTCAGTGTAAAATTTTCATTTTTGTTGTTATGTCAATATGTCTGATTGATATGTCAGTGTTGGTGACATGTCAGTGTTAGTGACATGTCAGTTGATACATATGTCAATGAGTTGTCAGGTGAAATGTTAAAGAGCATGCCAATATGTCAGATTGATATGTCAGTGTTGGTGACATGTCAGTTGATACATATGTCAATGTGTTGTCAGGTGAAATGTTAAAGAGCATGCCAATATGTCAGACTGATATGTCAATGTGTCAGAGTCAACTGATATTTGTTGTCAGTCGATGTCATTTGATATTTGTGTTGGTCAAAGTCACTACTGGTGACAAATATTGACCAATCAGGAGTATGTATCACAATTACTGTGAGTATATTGACCAATGGACATTAAGTCGATAATCTAGTAGATATGTCAGTCCGTATTAAACAAGATTGACCACAATTACTATTGATTACCGTTATCATGGTTCGAGATTTTCTCGACTTTGTATTTATCTCTTAGATTAACGGAAATATTTCGAGGAAAGTTAGATACCGTCAATTTAGACTTAATGTTAGGGGAATAAAATCTGCAATTATCATTTAAATTTAAATATTGATGAATTCTATAAGGAGTAAAAAATAAACATAGAAATATTGCATAAAGTTTACAAGCTGTGGAATACTCTTATAGAGTGAATTTTTCCAGATTCAGTTTCACAAATTTTCTTGATAAAGCTTTTGATTCAGCTCTCTGAAGTCTAAAGCTCACCAAATAATCAGAAGATACTTATTATCAACAAAGACATTAATGATTTATGTAAGCCTGCAGGCAACTTGGTTTCAGGAACTGGGAGAAATTTAGAAAATCTCTGATAATGAACCTCATCAACTCAAGATTTGGTTCCATTCAGTAATTCTAGAAACACCAACAAATTAGGCCTTTAGGGTATCTCTGCTTGTTACTGGTAGTGGAGAAAGTCTATTGCAAAGATGAAATTGTTGTCAGAAAGCAAAATCTTTGGTAATTGTATAAGACACTTTGTTGTTAAGAAGACATCTGAAGAGATTTGAGATTTATATACGACCATACAAAAATGTCCATTGGTAGTGGAAAAAGTCTATTCTTAAGATGCAATTGATGTCAAAAAGGAAGATCTTGGTAGTTGTATAAGATACTTTGTTGTTTAGAAAACGATATTTAGAAGAGATTTATATATGACCACATGAAAATGTCTGTTGGTTTTTGTCATGTGGAAGACGTCTGAGGAGATTACGACCATATGAAAATGTCCGTTGGTTTTCTCGTGTGGAAGACGTCTGAGGAGATTTGAGGTTTATATAAGACCATATGAAAATGACCGTTGGTTTTCTCGTGTTGAAGACGTCTGAAGAGATTTGAGACAGTTAGACCAATTATCATATCAGACAGGCGTCTAATTTACTTCTTATGTCTTTTATGAAATACCATCGCCACTTAGACACAATCATAATTACTGTCTCGGACAGTATTAAATACTGCTATTTGATTGGTCAATTCCAGCTCCAAGGCCACAAGGGAAATTATTGTGCCATGAAAGGAAAATTAGAATTAATAGAGCACAAAATTCTTGTTAATTACTGATCAGAACTAAGGCCTTACAAAAGCACTGGCATTTGCTTCAAGTTATAAGATTTGGAATTATTATTGTGTGAAAACCATCTATAAGAGACTTATATTTGTTGTTGCAAATTAGGTAGTAATTGAGGCGATGACAAGTTGCAGACTTATGGTTGGTTAAACTATGTTCAAAATTTGTTGATATATAAGTTAATTTAAATTTCAAAGTGCAAGATACTCATACCTCATTTTTTTTTGCAATATGGTCAGTGGCTCAACAAGATGAGTGGTGCCCTTGGACTTAAATCGGTTGGGGCTCCTCCCCTGGGAAATTTTTTTAAACAGATATGCTCTTCAAGATTTTGTTTTGGGGATGAGGGCCTGTGGACTTGGTTAAACTAGTCCCTATGGTAGTTGAGTCACTGAATATAGTCCTAAATGACAGGGCATGTCATTTTTTTTTTTCAGCATTTACTGGGTCTAATTTTGGGAAATAACACCTAGGATGTGAAACTTATTTGAATGAGCAGAATATCTGCTAGTGATTTATGATTTAGCAGGGATGCCAGATTTCCTCTTTTTATCTTCTATTTTTTACATCTTAATGGGATCCCTGCTGATTGATCTAACAGAGAAAATGTAAAGTCAACTGACGTAAAGCATGATTCAGAAGTCAACTATCAATATGAAGAGTCCTCAAGGGAAATTAGAGTTAAGTCCCCTTGTTGTAAAGAACAGTCTACTTGAATTAATATCGTTAGTTACGCCAAGTCTAATAGGCGCCATTTTATAATCTCAAGCAGACAAATTGAGTTTGATTCAATTGAGAGAGAGAGATTGTTGCTTATCTCCATTAGCCCAATAGACCTTATTCATGCACCAACCAGAAGGAGGCTCAGAAGGCAAACAAAAAATTGTTAACCCTTTCATCCCTAATAGCTGGTTTACAGCAATATATACCCTAGCAGCCAGTAAACTAGCCGTTACCAAGTGACGTCACACAACGTCATACGTTTTTAGTTACATGTATATTTCTTTGAGTTTAGGGTATATGACGTTATATTTCATTTACACTCAGTGTTTAAAGGGTTAATGTCTATAAACTCTTTCTTCATTTGACGCTGCCATCTTTTCAATAAAAGAAAAGAAAAACTAATAGCATGCTACTTTCGTTTTGTTTACGTTCGCAGACAAAGCTTCATAACGAATGATTTGTTTTGATTGGCTGAAATTTGCTACCAATTCAGTAGGGCCAATTTTGATTGGACAATATTTTCTCAAGTGTTAGCACGGCCCGAGGAAGTATGATGAATGGGGGTGTGGTTTGGACACGATGTTAGCCCATATAATTTATAGAAAAGTAGAATGTAAAATATATAACATTGCCTAATCAAGCAAAAATGTAATATGTAAAATGAAATCTGTTGCTAATTTACGATTATTAACATGAAATAGTGACATGCTTGACGATAGTACAGTAGATATACTGGCTCTGTTCACTGGAGGTCGTTTAGATGTAAAGGATGGCTCAGTCGATGAAGATGAGTAGTTATAGAACCAATTTTGAAATTTTCAGTTTTTCATCATTCTATGTTCGTGTGTGGAATGTCCTCCGTTAATCTAGTACTTTAAATATTGTCAACCAAGAATGACTTTCCACGGAACAGACAAGTAGGGTGTAGAACTCTTTTCATTATTTATAATGATGTTTTCAAGGCTCATTCTAACATTGCAATAAAAAAGGATTTGATTAGATTTTCTTCAGTGTGCTTTATCTATTCTTTTCTTTGTTAATAAGATTAAATTCATGTCACACAGTTCCTGATAATGATTAGATTATGACAGTTATATTCCTGGAAGCTCTTGAAGATTTCTATGGCCTCCAATCTAATGAAGCCTTTTCATGAATCGGAATGTATTTTATCAGTATTCTTTCGAATTGTTGAAGAACAATTAATAGTTTGAAGCCAAAATTCTGCTTAAAATAAACCTGTGTAATAGATGTATTCTCTAGTTTCTTACATTTGAAGGAGGCCCTTGACTCTCTACTAAAACTAATGCCCTCTGAAATCTGCATAGAGATACTGGAGTCTCAGAAGGTTGCTTCCTTAACCCCCTTACACACACACCTCACACCCACACCCTCATCCGCCCACACCCTCACCCTCACCCACCCACGCCCTCATCCACCCACGCCCTCATCCACCCACGCCCTCACCACCCACACCCTCACCCTCACCCACCCACAACCTCACCCACCCACACCCTCATTTTCTGTCTTGTAGAAAAGGCTGTTAATGATTTTTTTTAAAAAAATTTTATCAAAATATTTTGATTTGATTTCATTTCAGGGATATTACTGGGCGAATTACGCTACTGGACTTGGCGCATCACTCCATGAATTAGGTCACACCTTCGATCTTGCTCACACCTCATCAGGCATCATGGCACGGGGTTTCGACGATCTCCATAAAGTTTTCACGATTCAACGACTACGAGGTCGTCACAGTAGAGACAGTCAGCGTAACAGTATCTCTAGAACGCCCTCTACAGGCAGCATTGAAAGTGTCTCGTTAATCAACAGTTTTGAAGGCCAGAGAAGATATAAGGATGTCTGCTATGGTAGTCCTTATAAAAGGGTGAGTATACAATACAGTCAAGGGGTAAGCATTTCCCTTATTTGCACAAACCCCTAAGTTAAGCGTTTAGCTCAACTGTATTGTGGTACTGTGTAGGGCACAGAGACATCATAGAATCTTTAGAATATTTTGATAGACTCTTTAATAGTTCAGCTTTTTATAGATACCAAAAGTTATTCCAAATTTGGCTTTTGTCATGCTTAAATTCTCAACAACTAGTGATCCAAAAACTGAAACTTTATGTCTGGCCCCAAAACAGGCCAATATCACTTAAAAAGAACAGGAAGGAAGAGAATTGTCAAGCTTCGTTTTCGCTGTTGATACGATGCAGAATTAATGCTACATTAGAAAGTAAAAAGTCCAGACGTGTACTTGGGGTATTTGCTTCTACTATTTACTACTGTATCAATAATCCAGCATCGTAAACCATACACAACGCTGGTCACCAACCTTTATCACCTTCAACATTTGCTTGTTTCTTACTAGGTTGCTTTTGTATATTTCAGCTGTCCCGATCTAACAGTAAAAACAATGTTTATGTGCCTCCCCCACCACTAGTAGTTCGTGTAGAAACTGGTTTTAAGCCTGTCAAATCTCCGTCAGCTCTAACTCTCTCCGTTAAAAACTATGACGGCACGGAAACTTCGGAGACGATCTCACAGGAAGAAGGAAGTAACGAAATTACTTCTCCTAATTCTATTGGTTTAGAAAATGTCAACAGAGACTTGCAACGCCGAGGTAAATATACATCATGATAGATGGGGGACGACTCTCGCAAGCACTGTGCATGGCATCTTTAGAGGGATTGGAACCTGTACCTGCAAATGGATAATCTACCAGCACTCCATATACCTATTCAAGTTGTTCTATAGTATATATATACAGCATCTTGTGATTTTTTCAGAATGTCGGCCAAGTTATCATGGATAAAGATGAAAAGTCAAAATTTCTCTTCTGCTTTCACTTTTAATTTTTGCATAATTCAGGCCTAAAAATATTTCTACAGATTATTGTTATTTTTTCAGAACGTCGGCCAAGTTCATGTTCATCTGTTAGTTCTGTATCAAGTATTTCTCCACCATCATCCACGCCCTCTACATTACCAAACTCTCCTGACGAACCAGACTTGCGACTTCCAGAGGTTCATTTTACAGACGATGGAGCTCATTGGTTCCGATCTTCAGCAGTTATACTCAGGTTTCACAAGTAAGTTTTTTATGGTTTCTGTTTGACTAAGTTATGATTAAGGTCCTTTCCTTATTATTCCAGTCAATCTAGCTGTATAAGAGTTTGAATAATCAGGGGGTAGGGGGAGACATTGCTAATATCTTTAGGTTAAGGACTAACAGCTAGAAATGTTGTTAACCTTGTAAAATCATTTTCAAGAGGTTTGACTGACGACCAGCCAGCTGATTGACAGGATTTTCTAGAAATCTAATTTTTTTCTTTGTCAAATATGAAACTTTCATTCTATATTCTTTATGTTTTTGAAAGAGACAAGTTAAGGTTTTGTTTTAATTTATTTGATTTAATTTTGATATTTTTTTATATTTTAGATGGTTCAACAAACCGGATGGTAATAATCCTAAAAAACATCCAATTTTATCAGGGTAAGCACTTAGGCCTACTATTTCCTTAGCAAACTTTTGGTGCTCAAAACTAAGAAGTTTCAACACTGGAAATTTAGGTTGACAAAATGGTCCTAGACTCTGTTGCCTATTTACCTTTATGGATTTTGTAGTTTTGTCTGTCTGATAATAGAGTGACCACAGATAAGTACTGGGGAATTTTCTCAAACTACTAATATTAAGCATTGTTCAGTTATTTCCCCTTTCTCGTGTCAAATTTTCATAATTCTTGCTTGCTTTCTTCTATCATTTCTTGTTATGAGTAAAAATTTACAGCAAGTGTTCAGAAATACTGAAGGGTCAGCATAATCTGTCTTTCTGACAGCAGAGTCATTGGTGTTTCAGTGTATAAACATATTTAACAATTACTTTCTCTCTTCAACCACGGATTTCCCTTTTCAAAAACAAAAGATTGGTTGATTTGATTTAACGTCTGTATATTGCAGGCGACAACATGTTTCAGGTTCTGTTTTAATATTTCTATTTCAGGTGTCATATCAAATCACAAAGTGGCCTGAGAATAATAGAAGTACGGAGCGACCCAGACGGACTAGTTTTACAACATTGGGAATATTTAAACGATACACCACCTACAGACTTTACTCTTAAAAAATCTCGACTCCGTAACATTCCAGAGGGCGCTAAAACTGTGTCTATTCTCGCTCAAGATACTTTTGGTAATATATTAAAAAAACGGCTAAAACTTGTCAACTTAGAAGGATGATGAATATGGAGAAATCAGCTCAACTCTATCAGTTTTTGTTTCGAGGAAATTTTGTGTGAAATGTTCAACCAATGTATTGCAAGTGTTTCAGATTTAAAATTCAGCACAACTCCATCCGATTTTGTGTAAAGCTAACTTTGTTTGAACTGTCAACAAATGTTTTACAATTGTTCCTGATAAAGCATCAGCATCAGGACAGTTGGTGTGGAAATGCAGGTGAAATTTTTCTAAATTTGAAAAAAGAAAATAGCAAAATAATGGTGAATGGCCTCGTGAAAAGTGAATGAATATTTGAAGGGTAATTTGTAACATGACACAGTTTTTATAATGCAGAGAAAATTCATGGAATTTTGACTACCATCTCAACAATGTCAAGCTATTACAAACTTCGTCTTATACCTTATATGGGTTGGATTCCACGTTAGCAAATACAGCCAATCAATGTCTGTAAACAGAGGGCTCTGACGTACAATCCAATCAAATTGCTGCATTCCGTAATACAAGAAATGTTGCTATTGCAGTCAAGGTATAAGACACAGTTTGTAAAAGATTGACATTGTGAAGATGTGCAACTGCTAAAAAAAAAAAGAACCCTGTTAAAATATTGTTTTAATAATTATTAGATGATATCAACTTGTTTATATGATATTAATGTTTTAAACTGAAAGATATATTTCTATTGTTAGTGATTGTTGTTGTTTTTAAATTGGTTGTTATGGTTACATTTTAACAGAATATTTATCTTGTGAAACAATTGAATAAAAATACAGTTCACCAGTTACACGTTTATCTGTAACTGTCTTAACACATTATAATAAATACTCAGCAAACCAAGACTGAATATAGTGTGCCAGTCATCTATCTAACACCCCTCAACTTCTATTGAACTCAACATGCATTCTGTCTTACAACAGTACATGTGTATGAATTGGAAGATCTCATTTGTAAAAGTGGGGTGTTTTTTGTCTGATATATAATATCCAGCCTTGGTATACCATAAGTTGTATTTTTTCAGATAGGAGATAAGAGATAATATTAGTAATTTATTATCGATAGGGTTACTGTTGCCATTTTCATGAATGGAACTTCCATTTTTGATTTTTCATGCATTTGGAAGATGTCTAGTTCTATGTGAAGCCACGGGCCTTATACTTGTAAACTTAACTTAAGATGATAGTAGTGTTGCAGTCATCTGATTGGTCAATCATTAAAGTTGATATTGAATTTAGTTTTGTTATCCAATCAGATTTCTGTATTTTTTAAAATCTGAAGTTCAAGTTTGCAAAAGGAGGCCCCGGTATGTTGTATCAATACAAGACAATACACGTATCATGGCATGTTGTATCAATACAAGACAATACACGTATCATGGCATGTTGTATCAATACAAGACAATACACATATAGTGGTGTGTTGTATCAATACAAGACATTACATGTATTGTGGTATGTTGTATCTATACAACACAATACACGTAACACAATACACATATTGTGGCATGTTGTATCAATACTAGACAATACACGTATCGTGGCATGTTGTATCAATACAAGACAATACATGTATAGTGGCATGTATCAATACAAGACAATACATGTATTGTGGTATATTGTATCAATACAAGACAATACACATATCGTGGTATGTTGTATCAAGACAATACATGTATCGTAGTATGTTGTATCAATACAAGACAATACACGATCGTGGTATGTTGTATCAATACAAGACAATACACATATCGTGGTATGTTGTATCAATACAAGACAATACACATATAGTGGTGTGTTGTATCAATACAAGACAATACACATATCGTGGTATGTTGTATCAATACAAGACAATACACATATCGTGGTATGTTGTATCAATACAAGACAATACATGTACAAATCCACTGATATGTGTCAGCACCTGTGTTTATGGAGCTTAGTAAAAGCTGTACACTATATAAAGTGACTAGTTTTAAAATTAAAGCAACTAATAAAATTACAATAGAAACTCAATAAATTCAATATAATGAGCAGCTAAATTAAAATCAAAAGGAATATATTTGGAAATTCATACAGATTTTGATATTTTAGCACTCAATAATTTTGATATTATGAAATACTTCAGGGAAAATTTGAATTTGTTTTTAGAAATTTTATTAACCCTGCCTTCGTTGTCTTGAGAATTTGAAATCTTTTAAGAAAACAGGCAAGTAAGTGTTGATATTTGATATTTGATGAAAATATTATTTAATACTTAACGCTCAGCATTTAGGCTTTAATATATTTTTAATGGAGAACTTTTTTATTTAGCAAGTGAAAAGAGTACCGATATTTTTCCATCTTCACAAAGTCTAGCTATTGCAAACTGCGTCTTATACCTTGACTGCAATAGCCACCTTTTCTGTGTCACAGTGAAATTCAATGATTTGGTTGGATTGTACGCAAGCAAATACAGCCAATCAGAGGTCTTAATGAAAGTGTGTAAATAATATGCTGTAATGTTTGCAGTCTTTCTGTCAAGGTCTCAGATTGGCTCTAATAAAATCATTTCATTCCGTGATACAAGCATGAAGGCTATTGCAGTCAAGTTGATATAAGACGCAGTTCGTAAAAGCTTGATATTGTGAAGAAGATATTTTCATGTGAACTAGTTTTTTGTAGGAAAATGAAAATGAAGTTTTTGTAATTTAGTATTTTTTTAATATTATATATATATTCTGGAAAGTTCAATTTTTTATAGTTTTTGTGGCAGCATGAATGTTTTTTTTATCAGCAATGCTTGTAGAAGTTTTCAGATTGAAAGTGTCAGTTCTAATTGTTTGTTGAATATCAAAATCCAAATAAGGCGACAATTTGAAAAAAATGTGCTGAATATGCATAACTGTTAATATATTTATTCATTTAAAACATGTTCATTATCAATTCATCTTGTCAATGTCTTGTCTTATACCTTGACTGCAATAGCAACCTTTTTTCAGAGTAGTCTGTAAATGCAGCAATTTAGTTGGATTGTATGCTAGACAATACAAAAAGGTGACTATTGCAGTCAAGGTATAAGAAGAATTAATAGCTTGACGTAGCTTGATGCTGTGAATTATGCTCAAGATAGTTTACTCATGCTCACTGTATTGGAAGCTTAACTCAAATAAGATGAAATGCAACAAATTCATGCAGGATTTTTAAAATGTTTAGCAAAACACCTTATATTATTACTATTTCAAGGGCAGTAACTCAATAACTGCTCAATCTTTTGGATAAAATTTGAAATAATTTTGTAATTGGTCTCTAAGCAATGTTTATATCATGCTATTATATATTCTGAGATTTTAGAAAAAACAGGCTACCTCATAATTTAACTCTTAATTTCAGGCAGCAAAAATAAATTAGGAAAGCTGGGAGTTTAATTCATTGCCAAAATTAATAAAATTTCAACAAGATATATAGATATATTATTAATAAATTTTTAACTCATTTTTTTTGTCAACCTAGTTGGTAAAGCAGGCTGAAGAAAAATGTGTCCAGTCAAAAATAAAACACAGACTATGTACGATAAAGCTTTCTTGACAGTAGGGAATAAATAGATACTAGGCTCATGCTGGTCATGGCAGAATTTATATCATTGCACACTGCATGGTCTTGCCATTCACATAAACTCAATCAGGTAAATCAACATTGGACATAAAACTCAATGTATATTTTGATAGCAGGTTGTACTCCTTTCCTATTGAGACAATGTACAATCCTGATTCCCTATAGATCTCAAAATATTTAACCTTGAATCATGTTGTTATTCAGAGTTTCACACTGTGTGAACTTCAGACAACTAACCTATTTCAGTCTGCATCCCTACTGAAGTTGGACAAGTAGAACTTATTCTCATCAATCTATATAAAAACCTGAGTTGATAAATTAATAATAGCATATCTATATATTAAGTTCTATATAGAATATTTAATGAATGCTAGTTTGTCTCGTTGTGTTTCTGTGTTTTCTTGCAACACTAACTGTATGTGCATTAAAATGTCGAGTTAATAAATCTAGAAAAATTGTCCTGTGTTAGTTTTACAACTACTGTATGATTGTGTTATACGCAGTTTTTTCTATCCCCCAAAAATGGCCCCTTACAGAAGGTGGTGCACACTGTATAAAGGTTTGGTAAATGATTATATTATTATTATAATTATAGTAAATGTTGGAGATCCTTTGCTCGAATAGATTCATCTTCACGCTGTCAGGCTTTTACAAACTTAGTACTTATACCTTGACTGCAATAGCTACCTTTCTTATATCACGGAAGTATGTGAAGCTATTCGATTGAATTGTATGCTGACAAATACAGCCAATTATTGGCTTTGACAGAAAGTCTGTAAACATAAAGCCTTAATAATTACAGCTTTTCTATCAAGGGTTCTGATTGGCTGTATTCGCTAGCGTTTGCAGTCAAGTCACGCAATAAATGCTAAGACTCTGACGAATGGGATAAAAAATAAAAGTGACAAAAAACATGAGAGAGAAGATAATTTTATTGCAAGCAGACATCATTGATATGCAGAAACCAAACAAACAACATTTTAAACATACAGTAGGGGCCTGTTTCACAAACACTTTAACTTGATTTTCCTGTCATCTGATTGGTCAACTACTAAAATCAATTAGAGATTTAGTTTTACGGTCCAATCAGATTATTACATTTATTCAAAACTTGATTTTATCTCAGTTAAGATATTTGTGAAACGGGGTCTCGGTTCTCTTTATCCACATGGAAGAGAAAGTATATTGGATTCCAATATAACAAGCAGAACACAATCAGATAAATGTACATAATTCATGCAAAATATTTTTACAATTACAGTTCAGCTTTGAGTAAGAGAGTAAAAGTGCTGGACAGAAAATCTGAATAAAATTTTAACAAGATAAAGCCCAGATACCACAGTGTAATTGGTGACTAATACTTAATTTATTTTCAATTTTATTGATTGACCAATTACATATAAACAAACACTAAAATTAGCAGAAGTTTGCGATGACCTGACACTGCAAATTAGAAAATACTGAAATCTGATTGGTTGATAAAACTTAATTAAAGTGACTGTCCAATCAGATATGAGTAGCACTAAACTATCTTGCATTACATTTGGTTAAATTGACTCAAAATATATGACTAGGAATTATAAGTGAGCAATATTGACAAGGCTGGAAAGAATGTGTTAATTAACCCTTTGACACCCCTTGAAATATAAAATGAATTCGTCCATACATCAATTTGCAACAGTGATTTGTACGTTAAGGACAGCCAATTTACAAAACCAGGGGTGTTTAATTACCTGTAAAAAGTTTCCAGCCTTGAATATGGAATACATATACATATTAAAGCTGTAGTATTGCCATCTTGTGGACTTTGTACCTGATATCTTCCTGTTTACGAATTAAAGCTTTCGATTTTCACAACATTTTCCATTAAACAGTTTTAACAAAAAATCTTCGAAATTATCTCCCTTTAACCACAAACAATTTTGGTGCAAACCTTAAGGACATTTAAGGAAAGGGTCACTTCAGCCAAAATACACCAAAAAAATTAAGAAAGTACCCAGAGTACACCAAATGGCAACACACTCTTATAGTTAATGCCAGGAATGAATTGGTGCTGGGGCTCAGAATTAAAAGTCCAGATAACTCATTTCTGACAATTTTGAGGTGCCAAAAACATATCAAAATCTATATTTCTTTCTATTTGATTTTATACAAAGAGACCGTAAACGAGTCAATCTCTGCTAAACAGAAGAAGGTTTGGATGGGGCTTAATTCTCACTTACTGGGGCCCAGCCCCCACGGACCCAACCCTAACGCCAGGGCTGACCAATAAGTTGAAGTTATTGTGAATATGAACTCATTTTCCTAAACTAGTGCAAAAATAAAATGTTATGTCATTTCCCTTTGACCACAAACAAAGTTTTAGAGATATTCTATAAATATACAGAAAGTATCTCACTGGCACATTGAAAGCATGTGTATATATATATAACTGGAGTAGTCAGGAATACCCAGTATCATTAAACAAATAAATAGTGTATGAAATGAAGACTGGATGACCATGACACAATACTGATTAGCATGAATCTCACAAGTTAAAAGTATATAACAATGATAAGATGACGATATACAGTCAAGGAGACATTGTGCGATCTAAGCTTTATTCCAGTCTAATCAAAATTAAACAATTTTATTCCCTTGTTTTATTAGTTGTTTAAATGCCAGCGCTGGAAAATGTAGAAATTTGATTGGCAGAAGTCATTGAGTTAGGGCACTGATTGGCTGTATTCACTGGTGTACAATCCAATCAAATCACTACATTCCGTCATACAAGAATAGTAGCTATTGTAGTCCAGGAATAAGACCAAGTTTGTAATAACTTGACATAGTGAAGATGCCACAACGATTCAATAGCAACTCAGTCTAAAAACTTATTTTCAGGTAGTATAATTTGAAATAGTATGATTTCAACTATCCGAAAATAAAATAGACTTCATGTTTTTTTTTGTATGAAAAGTCCGTGGATGAACACAAACATCTTTGTTTGTCAATACTAGGAATGGAAAACAACAAACAAACAGCCATAGTTTCAGAAATACAGTAATCTGATTGGTTAATTCAAGGAAAACTTCAGAAATACAGTAATCTGATTGGTTAATAAGAGAAAGATTTCAGAAATTCAATAATCTGATTCGAAAATAGCAAGAAGATTGAGAGCTGATATATTCTTCAAGCGATGTTTGATAAATATTAGTAGCGGTATTATTTCAGGTCGATTTCGAAATGTTTATAAATAGCGGTGACGTAACACATGACCGCCTGCCAGTCTGGTCTCTCCATAGCAACCATATCATTTATACACTGTAATAAACAATATCATTAGTTAACTTTTCCTGCATTTATACAAATATTTTCTTTTCCTGCTGATAGAGAACTAAATTTCATGTGTCACCTCACATCAGAATTAAAATCAGTTTTAAAATTGTCGTTATTCTGAGGCCATTAATAAAAGCCTTTCACTGATGATGATACTAGCAATACGTATTGTGTCAGAATGTTAACTTCTTCCAAGTGTTGACAGTCTAAGTTTTCCAGTATATTTTTATTTAAATGTAGTCAAACACAACTTTGGAAGTTAAAAAGTGATACAGGCACATGAAATTTAGCTAGAGCCTATATTATTTAGACAATTGCATCCCTTTTAATCAAAAGGGCAAGAGATATACTCATTGATTGTGTAGGAACATGCACCTGAAAATTGTTCTATTTCCATTCTGTTCTATATACAGAGATAAACACAGACCCAAATGTTGTTCATAATAGATTTACTATGGAAAATAGAATAAAAATTATGAAAATTTTTGTGAACTCACCAGAGTTTTAGGGATGCCCTCATCCTCACCTGCTGTGAAAGCTAACGTAAAATTTCTTCTCTAAAAATATAAATAAGCAAAGTAAAGGAACTAGGGTAAGAGTGGTAGTTACAAAATATGAAACCCTTTTTAAAATAAACAGCATCACACAATAAGTTAAAGCCCTAAATCAAAATGCCAATGGGTACTAACTATGTGAACTTTCCAAAGCATGCAAACACAACAGGGGTTTTGTTTAGCACACAACTTCACCCAAACTAATTATTACAGTGGAGATCGAATGAAATCCATGTATTGCTGAAAGTGTAGATCTAAAAAAAAAAGAGTAAAAATTGCTTGCATTGGCTAACAATTCAATAGAGCTTGAACTATTAAAGGTAAGAAAACATTCTGACTAACCTTATCATCAGTGTTAAGTTCTGTGTATGGTATTTTATGGGGGAGATAACTATGAAATATAGCACAGAACGCCAGACCATCGTTCCAACTTGAACTAAAGTTAGTTATATCTACACCCTGGTAATATACAAAATAATACACTATATAAACATTGATTAAATCAAAGGATAACAATATATAGAAGATTTTCAAAATACACTGAGCACTAGTGACAATGCTGTATATAGCTGTTTTGGAGATTGGCATTATGAAAACTTGCAGTATCCTACTATTACATAGTATGGTATATAAATCAGACAAAAATAACATGAAAAGAACAAAAAAAATTTTTTTTCAATTTCGGGTTACACAGAGATGGAAGTGTCCATTGAATTCATTTCTGGAACTTTGGGAAACATAGGCAGCGAACGTTTTGCCTTTCTTATCCAGAAAAGAAATGAATCTGCAACCCATTTCAATTTCCAACTCTTACATCGCTGGTAACAATGCTGTATAGCTGTTTTGTCTAGAGATTGGACTAATGAAGATGGGTTATACTGTGTTGATACAGTACTGTCAGTGAAATTGTAACAACATCAAATAAACACCATAGACTATTCTTTTGGACTAATAACTTTCTATACTTAATGAGTATAAATGTCTGAACAACTACTCTCTGACTACATTGTGATTCTATATTTAATAACACAATATCTTCTATCTCAACAACTATTCTACAGCTGATTCTTATATTATTATTTAACATTATGGTGAGGTGATCTCCACTTAGTACAAGTTGATCTCCACTTAGTACAAGTTGATCTCCACTTAGTACAAGTTGATCTCCACTTGTGTAAAATCAAAAAAAGAAAATATTGGAAGTTTATGGTGAAAAATCCAGAAGAATATAATGTCCACTGTAGGAAATGGAAGCGTTTGTATCTATGACGGCCACAATAGCCTAGTATGCAGCTAGAAGAAAATCTTCTTTAATTGTTAGGCGTAACATCTGCGTTACAAAATATAGTTTGTCAGAAGCTAGTTATCTCCCCTGAAGACTATCCTAGTCGTAGACAGAAGTCTGGCCGCCGTAGATTAGAAATGAAAGGATAACACTGAGGTAGTCTCACCTTATAAGTGACAGTTTTTTGTTGACACCATTTTAATAACGCATTACGTTTAGAACCACCCATCTGTTTAGCAAGATAACCTAATGGATCTTTACTACCATCTTTCTTATCATTCTCTATACTGAAATCAACAACATAAACCATTAATATAATTTATTCTTTAGAGGGAGAGTGTGTGTGTCATTTTCATAAAATACATTAAAGGGACAGGTGGGCCATTCTTTTGACCAATCATACTTTAGTCTCAGAAACAGGAATTTTTTTTAGCTAAGCCAATCAGTAATAGTGTTCACAGCTCACGGTGGAAATTTGAGCCTTCAAATCCATGTGTGTCCAGAATTATCTGCGTTTGAATGTTAAAATGACGACTCGTTAATTTAAGATACTCTGTGATATATAGAAAAGACATTTAGGAATAGTGAGATATTTCTTAAGGAATTGTCTGATTTTCATACATTTCTAGTACTTCTGAAGACTATTAAATACATATATTCAAGATTAAAATCAACACCCAAAATGCCGCACCTGTTCCTTTAATTCTGACTTACGCATTTATAAACCAGATTCTACACAACACTCTATGACTCGACAAAAAAAATTGAAACAATATAAATTGCATGAACTAGATATCCTGGATACAGTATAGTACAACATGACACGACTTCCTCTTACAATATATTGTTTCTATTTTCTTGTGACATATCGTGACATGTCAGATCTGGTTTGAGGGCACCTTAATCTTGTCTCCTGATAGTCAATAAAACATTTATTTTAATATTTTCAAGAGGAATTGAGGACCAGTTTCATACAAACAGGAATTATGATGGCTTATTAAAATAATCTTGCTTTACTTTTAGTGAAATACTGTGATTTTATCAAAGATTTTCATGTGAAATATCAGCTTCAAATGTAGATATGATCATTCAGACGCTTGATGCTTGATGCATGATGCATCATTTCAGGATTAAGGATTTCAAGACAAGGTTTACATATGGTTAACTTTTTGACACCAGAACTAACAAACTGGATATATTTAATATTCTCCTTAATGAAATAAGCTTACTCGCTTCTTAATCAAATTTCACTGATTATCTTTAAGTCAATCAAAATGTCAGCTTCAAAACAGTACTGACTGATAAAAATATATAAAATTTGGTAATGTCATATTTGAAATAATCACTTGACTCTACAAAGAAAACTTTAGCAAAAATGTCAAAATTTTGACTGACAATTACCTTCTGTAAAAACAACTTTCAAAATAATAGTGTGAGCCTATGTCTGTAATTTTTAACAACACAAAGTGGTTTCAAGGCACTACAGTACTATTTTGAAGCTGATATTGATGGGTTAAAACTGACTCCAAAATAGAGAAAGGGGTTACAGTAGTGAAAGCCTGTTGTGAATAAAATATTCCTTATAAAGAAAGAAAAGTTACTTCTAATCTAAAACACTTACTTTGTAGTGCCGCTATTCCGTCTTGGAGTACTGCGATCTTGACGGTTATGAAGTATGGAAGAGATAGTAGGTGATATTTTACTATGATCACTGTCAGACCGAACAAACGGGGGCATCGATTTCGGTTGGTCGCTAGGCGACCGGTGGAGATCAAATCTTTGTGCAGGTTTCTCGTTTGTTTTTTTCAGAACTGATTTTAACGTATTCTCACACTGGGGACTTAAGGGACTATCTTTTGTCGGGGATGTAGGTGATTTGATATAGTCTTGTAAACTAAACATACTGTCATTAGAATCTGAATTCCTACGCGAACTATCTTGACTAGAGTGAATAGACGAACACCCACTTTTAACTTGAGTTTCAATAGAACGAATCAAACTTTTAACAGATAAACTTTGGTTTTTAGGGTCAATTTTACGGACATCACGAATTGCAGCAAGTTCTCTATCAACTGAACACAACACTTTTCCCTTTAATTCTGCATTAGTTAAAATAGACTTGGAAGTTTTAGGTTCCGTGGAATATTTTTGAATAGTAGCCAAATCTAAATCTGATTTAAGACCTTCAATTTTTCCTTCTAAAGTCTTCACTTTTTCTTTCAAAGCGAAATTTTGGTTTCTGACTTCTTCCACAGTATCTTGTGTTTCTGATCTGAAATCATTGGCTATCACCACGGCAACTTGAAGATCTTTCTGGAATTGCTTCCATTCTTCCTCGTCTGTGGCATGAATATTCCGTGTTTCGTTCAATTCAATTAGAAGTTGAGAATTCCTCTGTTTAAGATCATCAACCTCTTTTTGAAGTTCCTGTATGGTGTTACCATGGTATTTCTCATTGTCTTGGTAACGATTACAGTCCTGTTCTAACTGATCAATATGATCACGTAAAGCGTGAACTTCCTGTTGTAAATCATTACGGCTTTTCTCCATGTTGGTTAGTTTGTATTCGAGATCGCTCACTTGAGTTTTTGAATTCTTTTTCACAACTTTGAGCTCCTCGTCTCGAGTCGAGAGTTGCTCCTTTAATTTCAACACTTCACATTTACAATGAGCTAAGGATTCTTCCACGTTTGCTAGTTTTTTCTCGACTTTGTCTTTTTCAAGTCGTGCGTTATCAAGAAGAGCCTCTAATTCAGTTTTATCGGTGGCATTACGGAATTGTTCCAACTCGGCTACTTTCGTTTTCTCGTTTTCCAGAAGCGTCTTCAATCGATTAATTTCAATTTTATCTGCAGTCACGACTTCCCTCATTTCTGCCCCTTGTTGCTCCAGAAGATCTTTTTCAGATTTTATACCAACAATTTTATCCTCCAATAATGATGATTTGTCACGTAGAGCTTCATTAACATCATGTACTTCCTTGAACTCATTTTCAACAGAATGAAGTGTGTTTGAATGTTCCGTTAACTTCATCATCAACTCTTCACGTTCTTCTTGAGCACTCTTTAACGAATCCATCAGTAATTCTTCACGTTTTGATTTATCTGGAAGATTTCCACTGATTAAAAGTGATTTCAATTGTTCAACTTGGATTCGTGTGTTTTCTAATTTTTCAGTCTGGGTGCACAGTGACTCTAATAATACTGCTTTTTCATCTGCGAGCCTCTCATTCTCTTCTGTCAGTTCGTTCACGGCATCCTGCAGATCGCCCAGTTCTTGAAGCGTGGCCTGAAGTTCCTCAGTGGTGCTGTAGTTGGTTTCTTCCATCATAATAATTCTTTCCGTCAAACATGCCACTGAAATTTCACTAAGTCCATCACTTTGACCACTTTTATTGCTTTGTTTCTCCCAATTTGATTGGTCGAGAGACAACACAGAAGGATGATCAGGTGTTCCACATAAATCAGCCAATGAGAGGCCAGGTTCGGATGCTGACACAGAACCAGAACGTTCGATAGATTTAACACCGCTGGACACAGTATTACCTTTGGCCCCATCTGTTGATAAACTGTCACAACTTGCACTATTGGGAATATAACTATCTGGAGTTGCTTCCCCTGATTTAGAGTTTTTACTCGCGTTGACGCCCTTTTTTAACATTGACAATTTCTCTGCGTCTGTTATCTGCTCAATGGGAATTCCTAATTCTGTCAGACGATCTGATAAATTTTTATTCTGATTCCGTAATAATTCCAACTCATCTTTTACTGCCACTGACGGAATCTGTTCTTTTAACCGTTTATTTTCGTATTTCAAACGTTCAATTTCAGCTTTTCGACCCTCAGCTTTTTGAATCAACTCAGATATTCTCGCTTCTTGAAGTTTCTTCTCTTTTTCAAAATTTGCCAAAAGTTCAGCATTGTATGCCATTACATCAGCTGGGGCTGAGGTTCGTTTACGCGTCAATTTATCCTTGCTCACGTTCTGTGTACTCTGAGCACGTTTTATTGATAAAGTTTTGTTGCTAGTGTTCATGGGTTGTGTTTTAGTGGGACAACTGATGGTGCTAGAACCACCAAGACTAGTTTTATCTATAGACTGCGTACTGGAAGCTTTACGTAATGGAATTTGACCTGGGGTTGGAAGAGTGGCTGGTTTATTTGGTTTGGATCGTCCAGACCCTTTCTCCTTTTCCTTTAAGGCCACATTTTCTTTATTTTTATCGACAGATTTTGATGAGTCTGATAACTTGGTTGTTCCTTTAGATTTACTTACACTCGGCTGTTCCATCACTGTGGATAATTTCTTTTTTTGGTGACTTGATAAATTCTCGTGACTTTTACTCAAGTATGTTTTTCCGAGCAACCGTGATTTCCCAGATCCCTGGCCGATGCCAGAGTGGTCTGATTTTGAGTGTTTCATTCCCATGGTGTTTGGTGTACTAGTAGCTGGGGGACTGGTTTTGACAGGTGTTGGCCCTTTTTCTTGTTTCTTCATTTTGAGGCTGATGTTGGGGATCTGAAAAGAGAAAAAGGTAAAAAATTTAAATTCTTTATAACCATGTAAACAATTTTCAATCCATAATCTACTAACCCTTTAACCCTTTGAACGTTGAGTGTAAATGAAATATAACATCAAACATCATATACCATGAACTGCAAGTAATAAAAGTAAAAGTGTATGACGTTAACGTTGTATGACGTCACTTAGTAACTGCTGGTATACCGGCTTCTTGGGTATATATTGTGTTAAAGTGTGGCCAGTAAACTGGTTTCAAGGGATAAAAGGGTTAAGCTACAATTATTGGTAAAGTTTACATTAAATAATAAAACACTTTTATTACATACTACTGAGTTTTATTATCTACAACCTTTCAACAGTTTACATTATCATCAATTACCTGATGTAAATCATTGAAATAAACCAAGGAGTAGAATTAAATAAAACTGTCTTCCATTATTTAATCTATTATTATGTTTGATTTATAATGATAATAGTTTCTTGATTTCAACTACTTATTCTGAATACTAAATTTATACTTAATATTTCAGTTAACATGAACATAGCTGAACTAACAGGAACCATTTCAATATAGAATTTCTCTTTTCACATTCAATGTACCAGTATATTATTATATACACTAGAACCTTACATAGATCCTGTCTACCAACTAGTCCAAATTCCTTGTCCCTATCATCTATATACCTATAACAGCTGGGTCAACTGACATATACAAGGTCATCTGACATTGGCTTTGGCTTACAGAAATCAATTTGAAAATATTGAGGGATTTTTTGAGGATCAAGATAACATTGACTGTCTAAAGTGTAGTTGTAGTTTTTTCTATTAATCTAGTTGTATTATACCCCGTGCTGATAAGAGAGTCAATATGTGGATATTAGAAGATAAATAATATCACCCCCTTGTTAGATAATCCTCAATAATATCTAGTCAACAAGGTACTGACTGTCAGATAGTCTAACTTGAATAGTGGAGAGGGGTCATTGTAACCCCCTCACCACCCCAAAATCTATTTGGTTTCAGAAAGGCACCATAAACAATAAAAATTTTTGGAAATATTACTTATTTTCAAACAATATAACAATAGAAAAGTTATGTTCCATCTGGTCATAGAATCTTATCAAAAGAGTTAGACCTGGAAGAGGGAGAGTCCTGCACAGTCTACAAGCTACATGGGAAATAGTCTGATAGTCGCTTGGGGTGAGGTTCTCGGGAGAGGGGGAGTTGTCGGATGAGGAGCAATTGTCAAGCAACAACAAAGCTGATTTGGATTACACTATATATGTGCAAACCTACCCTACTTGTCAAGCTGACCTCACAGTCATAAGGTAAATAGATTCCTGACTCTTCTGACGCCTGTCTTAACATGTCATGCAATCTTACAACACGAAATCGGGGATGTTTTGCCAGACACGCGTCTATTAAATCTCCTCCATACAAAATCAATCGAAAGAATACCTTGTTTAACATATATAACTCAAGATGTGACAAGATAAATGTTTACAAAATGTTTGAGAATATTCAATGAAGTTATCAATGAAACACAAAATCAATAGAATCACTGACAGGGTTTGGAATTTGGCCAGTAAACCTCCAAGACATTTTCAGGAATCAATGAAACTGTCTTATCAACGGAACTATTTATTTTTCTGGTTGACCAGTATTTTATAATAAAAAGACTTTGGTGAAAGTGGTTGTGAAAACAATATAATTGAAATTACGAAAGCACAGGCCAAGGAGGAAAACAGGGCAACTTTTCAGCTCCCACCTATATTTCCTTGAACAAAAAATGTTCAACAGTCTAATACTGGTCTTTATTGCCCTCAACCGGTGAAGAAGTTCAATGATTATATTATGTAGACCTTTTCTTTCAGCAGAAAAAAAAATCAAAAGAGATATAAATAAAAACCTTTAAGCTGTCACCTATGTTTCCTTAAACTATTATTTTACAGTGCATAACTGGTCTAGAGTCAATATTGCCCTTAACTGGTGTATAAATTCAATCATTATATTGTGTAGGCCAATTCTTTCAGGAAACCAGAAATCCTAAAAAACCCATACCTATATTTTCTTAAAATATTATTTAACAGTCAATAACTGGTCTATATTGCCCTCAATTTTTGTAGAAATTCAATAATAATATTATGTAGACTTTTTTTTCAGTAGACCAAAAGTTAAAAATTTGACAAGAACTTACAACTCTCACCTATATTTCCTTAAAACATTATAGTAACTGTCCATAAATAGTCTACATTGTCATTAACTGGTGTATAGGTTCAATGTTAATATGTAGATCAATTGAATATGATTCAAATAATAAACCAGAGGAAACAAAATAGTCACAGGTGTCTAGAGTATAAAACAATAATCAATATTCTAAATATATCACTAATTTTCTGACGTCATCAAATGACATTTCTACTAGACTGATGCCCAGTGACATCACTGACGTTATTTCTATCATTAATTACATTTTTTTTCCAAAATTCAACTTCCCACGTCAGTTATTAAACATAAGAAAATATGTACTTGGAACTAGAGCTTGCTTAGATTAATGATGTTTTTTCATCAGATTTCATTAATTTCTTCACTGGAAAATATTAGATTTCTTAAATCATCCCCATGTCAGTAATATGACATATGTCTGGGAACTCTAAACTAAATCCTCATGCGAATAATTCCATTACTGTTTTCTTCACTAGTTCAACATGTTAATAACTAATAAAAAATCCTTACTCTACTTTTATCCAGATAGTTATCTACAGAATACATCCATACTTGTTCACTACTTATTGATTTATTCTTATGCTGACATCCACTGTCTCTACTTGTGACCTAGGCCAGTGCTTCTATAAGAGAGTATCTCTTATAGCACCTAATACTTGTGACCTAGGCCAGTGCTTCTATAACAGAGTATCTCTTATAGCACCTAATACTTGTGACCTTGGCCAGTGCTTGAGTATAGAGAGTATCTCTTATAGCACCTAATACTTGTGACCTAGGCCAGTGCTTCTATAAGAGAGTAAAAATCTAATAATACTACACTACACAGGGTTAAAACTACCTTCAACATGTCTCCACCATCACTACCTGTATCTAGAAAGGTAAAAATCTATATGATAAGAAAGTTTGTAAGATTATTACAGATAAAGTTATAAATAGATAACCTGTAAATTGTCCCCCGACTGAAGTAGACACGCCAACCAGCGATGATTGATTGATAGTTTTAATATCCTATATTTTATCTTTAAATACTTATAGTGCTTATAGTATATTACCTAATATGGCCTGACATATCTTACATAGACAGTTGATCAATGAATGAATGAATGAATGTAATAATGAATGAATGCATGATAAAGGAATATATTTCTATGCCAGAATAAGACAACTGAATGTATGAATGAGAATATCCATTACTTCCTCATATGGTGTTACCTTTCTGATATTTTCATGAATGAAAATATTTTTTATTACTACCTAATGTAGTATTAAACACTTAAATAGGCACAAGTCACAATAAAAGGGGGGCTGTCTCCTACGTTTACGTCACGATAAGGGGAGTTTCTTACAGATTAACTCCAGTACTATAATCTTATACGCCTATTTATTTTCTCAAATCATTATTAAGTAAAAGAAAAGAACAGAAAACAAGTGGTTGCCTAACAAGATACGCCCACTTTCCTGATACATTTTCAGTATGACAAGGGCGGTCACCAATCTGTGTCAAATCGTACCAAAAATCTAATTTGTAAACACAAAATTTGATAAAATTCTAACATAAACTTTCACCTTTATCACTCTCACAAGCCAACAAATTTTGCTGTGTTTTTGCTCATGCTGTGTTTTTGCTCAGTCAAGGGCAATAACACAAATTCTATTGATCGAAAATTTGTCAAATTCAAACTTGACTAAGATCTCATGCTTATAAATGATCACACCAAATTTTATTAAAATCGAATGAAAACTGTAGTCTCTATTGTGTTTACAAACAAATATTGACGCGTTTTTCGTAAGTCAAGGGCAATAACTCAAAAACCGTTCATTGAAAGATCGTCAAATTGAACTTGTCCAATAACTCATTAATATAAATGATCACACCAAATTTCATTCAATTCAATTAAAAACTGTTGTCTCTATTGCGTTCACAAGCCAATTGTGGATGAACAGATGGACGGACCGACGGACAGGGGCGAAGACAACTACGACCACATTATTATATGGGCGTATAAAAATCTGTTATCTCTATTGCGTTCACAAGCCAATTGTGGACGGCCGGACCTAAAGGGGCGACAACAATATACAATCACATTATAATGTGGGAGTATAAAAAGAAGAAAATAAGGAAGGAAAATCAACTAGATTCTGGTTCAACAATTTTATAGTATTTTTCTCAAATAATGAAATATCTATCAGTCATGCCTATTAGACAGGCATTTTAATTTTTATAGCTCAAGTCAATACCATGCTCTATTACACCATATAATTACTGGCTTTTAATAGATGTCGTCCGGCTAATAAGAAATCACCAGAAACATTTATTTTATTACTTGAGTGATTTTCCCACACATGATTTAACAAAGTTTATCTGACCACAAAGATTTTTCCAAGTAGATTTTTAGATATTGATTATATGTACAGGATGCCTTTGTTCCTTTTTACAAAACAAACCATAATATAATAATATGCATGCCTGTTGATTTGCTGGTTAAAAAAATCATGAGATAACATTGATAACTTATAATTTCCATCCTAAATACACGGTTTATCTGCTTGAGTGAAGCACAGTAGAAATAAAAATGAATGGAGTTGAACGTCCTACTTTTCTGCACCATGTGGGCTAATGAAGATGGGTGACATGTGCAATGAGGGAAATTTTGCCAGGATAGCGGTATGAGCCT